ATACCTCAGTCTCCCCCTTCCTTCCCCCTTCTTCCTCAGTGGTTGGTACCTCCTCTTCTTCCATAATTAACAAGTTTAAATGGGATTGTTTACAGACATGACCAAAATATATGGTTCAGCACATTTGAAGCAAAGTCCCTTTTCCCTCCTAAGGTTGAGCTCTGCTGTGTGAGCCTTTTGAATTGGTTCTGGTTAGTATAGTGGCTATTGGAAGTTTTGGGGATCTGTTTATCAGGTGGTTTGGGGTAGTTTGGGTTTTGTCAGTGAGTTTAGGGTGTTGTGAGGCTTTAAACAGGGGCTTCTGGTAGCTGGGGTTATAGGAAGGGCCTTTGTGGATTTTCTGCAATGCCCTCAGGTTTCTCTCCTGCAGTTTGGCAGCTTCTACAGCATCTGCCAGTGTTTTAGGTTTGGCCAGTTTTACCATAGTTACTATTTCCTCTTTTAATCCACTTAGAAAACATGTTTTGTAATAGCAATCTTGCTGATGAGGGAGAGAAGGCATTACCAGTGCTTTGAGCATTTCGAAATTTTCCAGGTAGTCAGTTACTGAACCTGTCTGCATCAGTTTGTTGAATTCTTCTATAGCTTCCTCAGGGGATCCATCTCCAAACCTCTCACAAAGTGCATTGCTGAGCTCCTCCCACGGAATATCCTCCCTTCCATTGAATACACCATGAAACCAGATGTCTGCCTTATCCCTGAAATAAAGTTCTGCAACCTCAGACTTCATTTCCTCCTCCACTCCATTGATTTTGAAGTACTTATTGGCCTTCCTGATCCATTCCCTAGGATTTTCCCCAGTGAATGATGGCAGATCCACCTTAGGTAACCTGGTGAAGGATCTGTGACCCTGTGGTTCAGATCTGTCCATAGCTCCCTTCTGCTCCTCCTTCCTCCTGTTATCCTCCTTATGCACTAAGCTAGATTCTGAGCTGTTGCCTTCCACATCTTTCCCTTTATCGTTTAACTTTGCCAACATTTGTGCCATCATGTTCATCATGCCCTCATACTTCTGATCCAGGTTTTTGAGTGTTTTTTCAGTATTTTCTTGTCTGTGCTCCATGACCCTGACGGCCTGCTCCAGACCATCACTTCTGTTAGCAAAAGTTCTAACCACACTTCCTAGCTCAGTGATCTCCTTCCTCATTTCTTCTTGGCTTTTAGTCATTTTTTTTTATATGTGTATATCTATACCCAATGGCTCGTAGCTAGCTCTGATACCACTGTTATGGTACAGACACCAGAGAAGCCAGAGTCCCTTTTGCAGGAACCAGGGAAGAATGAATCCAATTGGATGAATCAATAAACAATGAATCAGTAGAGTAGTTCACTGTAAGAATCTGAACTTCTATTAATCAAATCGTGATAACAATTTTAAGAACAGAAATGGCGGTAAAGCTAAGAAGGGGAAAGAATTGAAGGAAAAATTGGGAGGGAAGCTGAGGATTGCTCCTCAAGTCAATACAGATGAATCTAGACAAATAATTTCAAAAGCTACCTCACAGAGTAGACATGCCTGCTCTTTAATACTAACAAATCCTAACTAATTCTAGCTAGACCACTGAGGGCGATACACGTGTCCCAAGCATCTGCAAGTTGCCGCGCGTTTTGAATTTCTGTTATGAAGGCTGAAACCCAGGAAAGGCGTGGTTCTTGGTTCACGCCTTTGATGACTTCTGGTCCATTGATCACGCCTTCTTCTGCTGATCTTCACGCCTTCATTGCTTCAGTTAGCTGGTTCCTGCCTCTGTCCTTAGATAAGTTTTCCATTCCATTACAGAGTCATCTTTTAGTTATCTTCTTTGCTTGGACCATTAGCCTTACAGCAAATGAGGAAATAAATCACGTTAAGCATACTTAAGCCAGCGAGACTGCAGTAGTAATAATCATAATGACCTTTATTGACATTGATTGCAATCCAACTTTCGTTTCCTCCTCGTTTTGCGAATTCATCGACATCCCAAGTGTGAACAAAGTGGAAACCACACTTGAAATGCTTCTGGGAAGCTCAGAATAGTAGAACTCATTTTGTACAGCTACACTCAAAGCTTCACAGAAGCCGAGCAGGAAATATTGCGGAAGAAGCCAAAGTGCTGGCATGTCCAACACTGCTTCTGGATCATCTGAATATCCTTCACTTATAGCCAGACTACGTCATTTACCCTCCACAATTGCTGCCGCTATCATGGAGAAAAGGGACAGGAGCATTCCACCTCCCATTCTTTTCCTTGTCGAGAAATGAACATGTTTCCCCATGATTCTTGATGTAATAGGAAGGATTATACGATCATAAAGAGCTACCCAATGTATTAGAAAGATAACATTAAGCATACTAAAAGAATCTGCTGATATTTCAAAGCTTGAACCAATTTTCCGATTGATGGACTTTGCTTGAAAAAAATAGTTCTGGCTGATATTTGCTGACATTATCATTCCTGAGGACCATAATTTTTCTTTTTTGGGTAAATCATACTTAAGCCTCTTGTAGTTCATCCTTTTTCGTGTTACCCTCTCATAAATTTAGGATAACACTTATCACTTTGAAACTTTAATCCAAAGTATGGGGCAGTTATCCATGACATTTGCTTCAAACTGCTTTCCTTTAGTTTATCATTAACAGCTAGACAAGAATTAAAAAAAAAATCTCTTTTTGGAATCACTGCTATAAATTTGTAATCCCTAAAAAATTCCCATAAGAAAATGGAAAAGAAAAATCCGAAATCGGTCAACTTTTTGTTGAACGAAATAATATGAGGCTTACGGGGCAATAATGAAATGTAACATCAAAAGAGAGGGTTCAAGCCTAATGGGTTTTATTTGCTGAAAATGAATGATTAAGGGAGTGAATACATAATCAACGAGACTGAAGTTTTAGAAACTTTTGCAGAAGTGTTTTTTCACGCATGTGCATGGAGAGAAATTGTTCCTGAAAATGAAATAAAGAAACAAAGGAAAAGATTCCAGCTAAAATACCTCAATGTCTACATAGAGTCTTGCCTGTCAATGAAATCAGTAGAAGCAGAACAAGGAAAGGGGAGGATAAATGTCCATGCTGTGGGGAGGCAACAGAAACTTTGGAGCACATGATGTTTTTCGCCAACATGCTGAATGGATATGGAAGGCTGCACCAATTAAGTGGGATGGTTTTCTTTCCTTTAGGCAGAATTTCTGGTTATGGTGGACCACTTTGATGGAGGCAAAGGAAAGAGAGGATGGGGAGGAACATAGTGCATTAACTGTAAATATCCTGTGGCAGAAATGGAAATCCAGGAATCAAATGCAATTTAAAAAGGTAAGGAAATGTCAGGCTTGACAGCACAAAAGGCAACATATGAATGGCAGGAGTATAGGATGGCACAAAGGGGAGGATCACGAACAAGATGAAGAAGAAAACAAGCAAGGAGCTGGAATCAGAGGAACAACACCTGAAAGGAGGGTGATAAAGATAAATACAGATGCAGCCCTCAACCAAAGGAAGGAAGTGGCAGGATGGGGAATTGTGGCTAGGGATGACAGTGGTAAGTTAGTGTCTGCTTGGGCTGGCAAAAAAGTGTACTGAACCAGTAATAGAGGAAGCAACCGCGATTAGAAATGCACTGTTAAAGGCCAAAAGGTTGGAGAAACATCTGGATACAATCAGACTGCAATGTGGCTGTAGCAAGGATTGAAGAAGACTGCACTGGGGATCCAGTGATTGGAACGATAGTCGAAGACATCCAAAAGCTTAAGCAAGAGTTCCGGAAATGTTATTTTTCCTTTATTGGCAGGGAAGGTAACTATTTTAGTCACCATTGGCAAAGTTTGCCTTAAACTTGGTTAGTGAAGTGAGTTGGGAACAATCTTTCCCTCTTTGGCTCAGTAGTCTAGCCAGAAATGATGTAGGAGCAGTTGCTCCAACTTTGTAAGTTCATTTTATCTGCAATATAAGTTCTGCTATCGTTTGGAGAAAAAAAAAAGGCACCTTTTGGAGAGGAAAGAAACAGATGGCAAAAAATGACACTATGGAACAGAGGGGACAAGCTATACTATGGACGGAGTATTTGAAGCCCTTTCTTTTTTTTTTTTTAAGGTGAAAAATAGACAGAAAGTACCTCTGTCTTTTATGATTATAAAATTCAGTCTGGACACTAATCCAATGGGGTGATTGGTCGACGGGTCAACAATGGTTTTAATAGGTGGGTTGATCGGTTGATTCAGTGATTATAATATAATAAAGGTTAAATTGCTTGTCATCCCCATGTGATTTTACACAACGCTGGATAATTTACCTAAAGTTTTAAAATAATCACATAACCTTCTTGTGATTTTATATAAATTGAAAAATGAATTAGTTACGGCGTTTCTATCAAATGTACTTTTAAAACGCGCATAATAAAATCTTAATATCCATATAACCCCCTTATAATTTATATAAGTACCCACTTTACTCCTTGTGGTTTTTACATTTATCAACGTAGTCTTTCAATACTTTTATACAAGGTGATTAAGTGGTCAATTAATTTAGTATTTAAGTAAGAGTACTATTGGTATTTCAACTAATGTCTAACGATGTTACATAAGTTATTTTCTATTAATTTTTTACTTTACATAAAATTATAAGAGGTGAGTTGGATATTTTGAAACGTTACACGGAGGTTATATGTAATTTAATCTATAATAAATAATATATTTAACTCATAATAATGTTTGAATTAGGGGTTCAATTGACAATTCAACGGTTTTTTTTTTCTTTTTTTTTTTGAAATTTTACCGGTAGAATCACCGACTTATGGATTGATCAATGGGTTTATTCCTTATTCGGTCTAAAAATATTCACCTGAAATACCACCTATGCCTTTGCTCAAATGCTTAGTATAACAAGGAGGTATAAGTGAATATTATTGAACAATAAGGTGCTCACCAGGAAAATGTGAAACCATAAGGGTAACTAGTAATTCAACCAAAATTATTTCTCTCAGTCCAGCCAAAACACTGGAAAATTATGAGGAAGACGTTCTGTTTATTAAGAAATGTTTTCTTTGGAGAACATGATAGGAACTATGTTACATCCAACCAAAAGAAAAAAAAAATCAGCCTTCAACGTGGAAGAAGCTATGAGCTTCTGATGAGGATAAATGTTTGTGCCAAGGAGACAGTAAACAAGGCAATCTCTATGATTCTGAGGTGAGGTAAGATGGGACGGCAACGTAGTCTGAGTTTTGCCCAGACTGATTGACTGCTAATATTGACATCTTCCATTAGCTCATGAAGGTAGCATCTGTCCATGTCAAACACAAGTTGCTTAACAAGGCTGTTGAAAAAATTCACTACTTTTCTTCATCATTCTCTGGTTGTCTGATGATCCCTGCTTTCATCAGAACTCTAGCATCATCTCTTGAGCACAGCAGATTGCCGAGGAAAACTACTAGGGACGTAAAATATGGTGCAGAACCTCTATCACCCTGCTCATGAGCCATCAAATTTCTCAACACAATGCCTGTGTTATCATCAATGAACAATTGGGAAATCTTCAGCACTCTGTCCTCGAATTCCAAATCTAACATGTTACCGGACTTTTTCTTGAATGTCAGCCCACAAAGGCTGAGTGATTTAGCGCTGTAGATCCAGCCTTTCCCACTATATGTATTATACGTACAGGACCTTCTTGCTTGGGTAGTAGAACAGTAAGTTTCAGTTGGAGCAAAGCTAGCATGAAAGAGAGCAAGTAAATGTGTGTATTTCCTGTCTGCATGATCAGTTGTTTCGCTGGTAATGGCATCTTTCCCTGGCCTGAGCGACTCGAAAAATTGGAGAGCGAGCTTGTTGAGAGAATCTTTTTCATCACCCAACCTGGTAAGATCAAAAAGCCTTTGGAGTACAAATAGAGGAAGTTGATTTTCAATCAGCAGGAGATCAAGACCAAGATTGGATGGCATCCAACGAGTAGCAAAGATGGGATCATCTGCCAGCTTTCCCTGTTCAAGAAATTTTTGTCTTCATATAAACCCACTTGGAAAAGAACAACAGTGTGAAAACTTGAACCTAAAACACTAGGAGATATTAAGACCATACCTGGTAACTTTTTCCACCGAGGCGCAAGAGCTCTATCACAAAGCAACCATCAACTAGCATCATTTTTGTGAAGCTATCACTGTCAATGTGTGTTAAGTCCTCTGCATAGCATTCTCTTGTTTCTGCTTCCAATTCTTTCATAGCATCACTGAGAACATTGAGTACATAAATACCATGATGTCTGCCTCTTTCCAAAAGGGAATCAAAAAGTCTCAACTTTTGAGCTTGCATAAACTCTAAACCAGGCCTCTTGTGATGAAGTGGGCCAATGGAGACTAATCTGGGAGCATAAGCTTTCTCGTTATCTTCGCGAACGTGCAATGGGATCCTGCAGATAGGCCATTTTCTGCGAGGAAGAGGCTCTTGCATGACAGGATCAATGCTGATTACAGCATGAGCTTTGCCACCTGCTTCTTTGATAAGCGGAAACACTGATTGAGTTATTTGTACTGACTTATTTTTGCCATTGGTGAACTTGGAACTTTTTGCTTCCATGAAGGTATTCTTCACGATATCCAACACTGGACTTGGATCCATTTTTGCTGACCACCCTGGATCATTCGAAGTTCTATTATATAAAGCAGCACAACCCTTTTTTCTAATCCAAAAAGTTGAAAAAGGTAGCATATATAAATACATGTTATTGCACACAAAGCTGCTTTTTGGCAGTAAAGCTGCACCATATAAAGTAACTACAATATTAAAACACGGGATTCAACACGTTGAAGGTTATTTTAATTCGCTATCCTTTGTACTATTTCACTTTTGAAAAGCATGTCAAAGTTCAAGAGAGCAAGAAAAAGCATGTCAAAGTTAGTCAAATCATGTATATGTCGTCCGTGTTTGCTTTCTTTTTTTCCTAAACGGAATGAAACACACACACACACAAATAATGAGAGACACGCAGAAGTCCGTGTTTGCTTTCCGTCCTTGTCTTTTTGATTTCCAGACTGGTTTCCAATTTTGCTGTAAAAAGCGGTAATCAGGAACCGGGAAGGTGGAGATTGGAAGATTCCATTTACACATTCTAGTGAACAATTCCAACTAAATTAAATTTGTTAAGAGACAGAAAAGTATCCTGGTTGAACATCTTAATGACTGTGTTCATACAGTGCTATGCTTGGAAAGATAATGAGTGGACTGGTTGGAGCAATTTATAGCCATGGGCTCCCTCCTTCTTTGCTTTGCTAGCTTTCTGTCCGTTCATACAGTCGCAATATCCAACTAAATCAAGCTAGTAATAAAATGGTTTCCGGCAAACATAAATAAAGCGTTTGCAGACCTATATTTTTCAAAGGATAAATACACTTTATCCCTTGTGTTTAGTGATTTTTGATATAACTCCATTGATAATTTGGACTAAAGTATCAAAGTCATGGAATTTGCATTCTATAATGGAGTCAACTAAAATATCAAAAATACCCCTTTGTAAAGTTGAAAATTATTAATTAACCATAGAAGGTTATATTTATTTTGAAAACTATAAGAGAATTATGTGATAAAATACTAAATCACAAGGGAATTATGTAAAAAATAAAATCATAAGGAGTTAAAAGTATGATTCATATTAAGTTTATATATTTTGATCACTTCAACCATTTTAGTTTTTAAACAAAGATATACTCGACATTTCCTTCGGCTTCGTTGTAGAGGATCATTTCTGTTACATTGACATTTTTAGTCCAAACTATAAGGGATAATGTATAACTTTTAAAACTATGATAGGGCAATATGAAAAATTACCAAACCACATGGCGTAAAATGTATTTCGCCCTTTTTCAAATGTACATTAACATACACACTAGTGCCACATCATTATAAGTTCTGAGTAATCAACAGGTAGGGATGGCAACGGAGGCGGGCACCCGCTCGCGGGGGGTCATTGTATACCCCGCCCCGCCACCCGTTTGAAAATATATATATATATATATGTACATAATTATATATATATAATGATATTATCAATTATATTACTAATTATACATGTCTATTAATAAAAATTATTAATTATTTATACTAAATTTATTAATACATTTATGTTAAATTCCTAACTACACTTAATACAATAACACTTTTTTCTAAAAAAAATACAATAATAATTTAGTGATTGTATTTGTATCAAAAGTAAAAACTTGATTATTTTAGTTATATTTGTTTAATCATATTAGATTGTATTCAAATAACCTTTGTTTAATTATTTTTATGAGTTTCAATTGTGAAATTACAATGAATAATAATTTGGTGATGTGTAGATATTTTAGTACTTGATTATTTGCTCAAATTTAATTATAATGAAATTATATAATAAAATTTTTTTAACTCCACAAGTGCCCCGCAGGGGAGGCCAAGGGCGGGGGACGGGACGGGGGCGGGGGTTGGGGGAGATGTCCTCCGCCCCACCTCCGCCCCATTGCCACCCTTATCAACAAGTGAGTGTAATAATTTTTTTTCTTTCATTTCATTTTTCTTTTGTACAAAAAAATAAAAAGAAAGATGGCATTATTACAGATGAAACTGAGAGATATATAACTCTGATTTCGTAAAATTCAGAAATCGGAGAACAAAATAGATACACATGAAATTGAGCTCCGTTTGATGCAGTTTATTTCATAATTTAATAAATTTTTGAAGTGACATATAATCTGATCCTTTGCAAAAGCAATTGATTCAACCTTGCAGCTTAGTAGTTCCTTCATATTTTCAAGGAGATAATCGATAAAGCCCAGCTCATTTGTCTTGGGAATGTCAAATTCTGACGTTAATGGGTACTTGTCTGCAATTTTGGGCGTCAAAAGCTTAACTTTTTCGAGCCAAGCAAAGAGCACAAGCTCCATTTCCACGGCTGACCCTTGTTCCAATTCATGAGTAAAAAGCCAGCAAATTATAGTACAAGCATTATTTACAAAAAAAATTATCATACAAATATGCTCTCAAACACTAGAAATAAGTATTTATTAAGTACTTTTTGTAAAAATTCTATTAAATAAACTACTTTCTTATAAATTACCGCAATCCTGAATTGGCTCTAAATATGCAAGAGGAATCTGGGAATTTGGGAAGCATAACTGAAGAAGGGTTGAAAATTATGGCAAAATCAATGAAAATTAATCATCACGAAATTGATTCTACGTTTTGTGTAATTATTTTTATACTTGATAAACTTTGTACATCTGGTCAAATTCTGCCACAATGAAGAAATAATGAAGGAATTGCGTCTGAATCACATTTTTTTATGGATGGTTTTCTTTTTCTTTTTTCTTTTTTTTTTCAATTTGTGGTAACTTTTTGGTATCTCATTTACAATTCAAAGTTGCAACCTAAAAGGATAACTTTTATGTTCTAAATTGTGTCACCCTAAATGGTAAAGTTATAAACTTTTTTTTTTCTTATCTTCACTTTATCATTGTGGTAAAACGTATTGGGATACTTGGTCAAAAACTTTGGCAAGTTTAATTAGCAACTCACTATTGCTTTGGAAATGCTTTTTCTCTAATGTTTGGTCTCATTGTTTTTGCTTCAAATTACCCCTTTTTTTATTCAATTTTTTGCCTTTCATATGAGCACTTCCTAGTTTGATCAATTCCAAAAATTTCGCTCTGCAACTTTAGTCCATCTTCTGGAGAAATGAACTTCAAAATATAGACAAACGAAGGAGAAAATTGTGGTGTGGACAAAGAAATCCAGACAAACATAAGAGAAATTGTTGGAGCAAATGAGGAAAGGCCAGCAGAAATAGCAATTTCAAAACTTCATTGTCAAACCACTAGCAATAGAAGAATTCCACTGGGACTGCACTTTCATTACAGAAGGCACAGAAAACGAATTCAAAGTATCAGAAGTAGCAAGAAAATGAAGAAACAAAGAATATCCTAAGCTGAAACCATTGCCAGGTACTGAAGTGAAACACAGAAGCTAATGGATGAAACACTCAGCAATATTCTTTATTCACAAAAATCCACTACAGTCATGCATTTATTAGCACAAAGCATCCTTCTTCAAACAAGAACTAAACTTGGTAACAGGTGGTCATCACAACTTCATTTATTAATTAGTACATTGATTTCATATCCAAATCTCTGTCAACAATGAAAAACATAAATAGATTCAACCACTTGACATGTTATTTGACATGTGAGGGCGAATTCTTGCTTCTGAACGGAACATCCATGGTCTCATATCACTGGAAGATAAAGATCTTGAAATCATAATTTCCTGAGCTGTTCTGTTCCTCCTCAATCTTCAAAAGTAAACTTCTATCCAAGACTGGGCAGTGACGCACCTCAATCATTTCTAGAGGTTCAATAACCTCTAAGCAAGAAGGGATCTCTTCTAGTTTGCGACATTGCTGCAGCACTAATTTCTCAAGACAGGGGAAATGATCGCTCGTGCTGGTCCATCTCACAATGTCCAAGGAGCCTAACTTCAAGAATCTGAGTTTTGGGAGTTCCCATTCTTCTTCCATGTCCCAAGTATTCTCCTCACAGTGGATGGAAAGTAGTTTGAGTACCTCAAGATTGGGTAGATCTCTCAGTTCTGGAATTATACTCGAATGCAAGTATGACAGAGACAGCTTCCTTAGGTTGGAGGGAAAATGAAGCTCGCTATGACACTTTACTCTTCCAAATGATGAGGACAGGTGGAGTGATTGTAGTCGACTCAAAAACTGCACTGCCACGGTCCTGTTGCAATCCCCAGTAGATTTCCCTGATTCAAAGAGTGTGCATTTTAGTCTGCGGATGTTTGGCAACTTCCTCAGTATCTTTTCAATGCTTTGCCCAAAAGAAAGCCTAAGCACAGAAAAGGTCTCTAAATTGTGTAAGACACAGGACATTTCAAGGTTTTCTGTGGCCAAACTAGACCCAAGCAAGCTAAAACCACCATGCAGATGTCTTAATTTCTGCATATTCCAGATAGTATCTGGCAATACAGCTGTACTATCACTTTTGACAAGAAGAGTTTCTAAATTTGAGAGGTTCGATATTGATGATGGGATCGAATCGAATTCACCCTGAGCTGCCAAGTACCTCAACTCAACAAGCAATAGCGTTTCACTTGGAAAACAAAATCCTAGATGGATTTGCTCCAAATTCAACACATTAAGAAGTTTGAAGATGCACAGATTGAATAAGAGACGACAATGCTTCGGTCCATACGCATTATCAAGAGGAAAGAATAGTATAGAACGTACACTGGGACAAAATATCCTTGACCTCTCAAAATGTTCTTGGAGAGAATACACGCACAACCGTTGCTGATTACACTGCCCATTGAAGGTGAGAAGCTCATCATACCCACTTACCAAAGACAAAAATTTCTCCTTTTTGGCTGTTACCACACAAAACTCATGCAACAGATCATGAACACGACAGGATTTAATGCCTCCTAAGGATCTTTCTTTGGAGATCATAACCAAGCTTCTGCCAATCAGATCATTGACGTAGTCCCCGGCCACATCTTCTAAGCTCTTTCCATCACTTTTTTGAACAAATCCTTCGGCGATCCATAATCTCATC